CACATTTCTTTTCTCTTTCAAAAGAGAGGGAGGGGACTATAAAAGTATAGTGTTGAATATGCTTTCTGAGATCTTTGGTTTTCTTTAAATAATATTTTATTTTTCCAATTATATGTAAAACAATTTTTAACATTTTTAAAAAGTTTTGAATTCCAAATTCTCTCCTTGCCTCCATCCCCTCCGCCTTCATTGAGAAGGTAAGCAATTTTAAATAGGTTATACATATGCAGTCATGCAATTTCCATATTAATCATTTTGTGAAAGAAAACACAGACCCCAAAAATAAAAACAAACAAATCCAAGAAAAGTAAAGTAAAAAAGGAATATTCGATCTTCAGCCAGATTCCATCACGTCTTTCTTTGGAGATGGATAGCATTTTTCATCGTAACTCCTTCAGAACTGTTTTGGATCATTGTATTGCTGAGAATAGTTAAGTCATTCATAGTTGATCATTGAACAATATTGCTGTTGCTGTGTACATTGTTCTCCTGGTTCTGATCACTTCACTAACATCAGTTCATGAAAATCTTTCCAGGTTTTGCTGAAAGCATTCTGCTCATAATTTCTTATCACACATTAGCACTTCATCACAACCATATACCCTGACTCAATCAGTCATTCTCCAATTGATGGGCATACCCTCATTCCTCATTTTCCAATTCTCTACCACCACAAAAAGAGCTGCTATAAGCATTTTTGTACATATAGGTCCTTTTCCTTTTTTTTTTTAAATTTCTTTGGGATGCAGACTTAGTAGCAGTATTGTTGGGTCAGAGGATATGCACATTTTGATAGACCTGAGGGCATAGTTTCAAATACTCTCCAGAATGGTTGGATCAGTTCACAACTTCACCACCAGTGCTTTAGTGTCCCAATTTTCCCACATCCCCACCATCATTGTCATTTTCCTTTTCTGTCATATTAGACAGTCTGATAGATATAAGATACGGCATCAGAGTTGTTTTAATTTGCATTTCTCTAATAAGTAGTGATTTAGAGCTTTTTTTTCATATGGCTATAGGAAGCTTTGATTTCTTTGTCTGAAAACTGCCTGTTTATAGCCTTTGGTCATTTATCAATTGGGGAATGACTCATATTCTTATTTGATTCAGTTTTTTATATATTTGAGAAATGAGGCCTTTAGCAGAGAAACTTGTTGTAAATTTTTTTCATAGTTATGATTACTCTGTACGTCCTTTCATCCTATTTTCCCCATTTCTTCTTCTTCTTCTTTTTCTTCTCTCTGTCTCTGTCTCTCCCTATCAGCCCTCCCACTTTTCTCTTCTTTTTTCTTTTTTTTTCCTCCTCCCTTTTCTTATCCCCTTCCCTCCCTACTTTCCTATAGGGTAAAATAGATTTGTATACCCATCTGAGTGTGTATGTTATTCCCTATTTGAGTCAATTCCGAGAGTATGGTTTAAACATTGTCCTCCATTCCGCCATCTTCCCCTCCACTGTATAAGTTCTTTCACACCTCTTTTATGTGAGATAATTTACCCCATTCTACTTCTCCCTTCCATCTTCTCCCCATTTATCCCTCTTTCTTATCTCTTAATTTCATTTTTTAAAGATATTATCCCATCATAGTCGACTCATACCCAGTCCCTTTGTCTATGTATACTCATTCTAACTACTCTAATAGTTCTTAGGAGTTACAATCATCACCTTCCTATGTAAAGAGTTTAACCTTATTGAATTCCTTATGATTTCTCTTTCCTGTTTACCTTCTTATACTTCTCCTGAGTCTTGTATTTGAAAGTCAAATTTTCTATTCAGCTCTGGTCTTTTCATCAAGACAGGAATGCTTGAAAGTCCTCTATTTAATTAAATATCCACCTCTTCTCCTGAAGGACTATACTCAGTTTTGCTGGTTAGTTTATCTAGCTCCTTTGCCATCCCGAATATCATATTCCAAGCCTTCTGAGCCTTTAATGTAAATCTTGAGCTATCTTGGCTGTGGTTTCATGATATTTGAATTGTTTCTTTCTGGCTACTTGCAATATTTTCTCCTTGACCTGGGAGCTCTGGTGCTGGACTATGCTCCATTCTCACCCCTGTGAGAATGCACCTTTACTCTCAACCTTCTAAATTGTCTTGGGCTAGAAAGATGTTTCACCCCATCCTTTTGTTGTTTTTACTACTCCAGAATTTGCTCTGAGGCATTATTTTAAAGTTATTTGGAGGGGAATTTGGGAGTGCTCAAGCAAGTCCCTGCCTTTATCCCACCATCTTGGCTCCACCCTGATTGCTTTGGTTTGCTTTAGTCTTTTTTTCATATATACATACACACACATATATACATACACACACATATCCAAAAAACAACAAAGAGAAGGATGAGAGAAATGGAAAAAGAAATGTATTGGACTTGGTTCATAAGGACTAGTGGGGGGTGCCAGAGGGTACCATCAAATTAGATATAATAGATTACCTATTCCTAAATCTGGAAGGTGGAGGGAAAGACACACTGAGAGAAGAGGGAAGGACTTAGGAAGGAACATAACAATAGCAGCCTATGCAAGGGAGAAGATGATTAGAAAAGATGGACTTGTTTTACTTCACTACTGGGCTTTTATTACAAGATTAAGAAACCCTCACGTAAGGATTGGAAAGTCCTGGTTTATTACTTGCTGTTCGTCCTTAGTTCTTGAAGAGGACCAATGACACCAAGAGGGTGATGTCTTGACTTGCAAGTGAACTGGATTTAAGTAAAGCAGAGCTGTGTAAAATCATTAGCGCCATTCTCTCCTCCAGTCATTGGAGTCTAGTGGCAAGACATAGGTTAGGACCACTGGTGATGGCCCAGGATACAGTGAGGGACCTTGGCCTTTTTTCAGTTTTTTTTTTCAGTTTATTTGTATTTAGTCATGGGAGTTAGTGGAAAATGGCTAAACAACAACTTTGCTTTAACACAAGGAACTTGTATTTGCAAAGTTTGCTGGATTTGGAGTCCTAGAGTTTGGATTAGAGTCCCAGCTCTGACACTGAATAGCGGTGCAACCTTGGGCAAGTTGCTTAACCTCAGTGTTCCTCAATTTCCTCATCTATAAAATGAAGAGATTGGACTTAAATAGCTTTGAAGGTCCTTTGCAGCTCTAAATCTGTGATCCTATGATCTCTATTTGATCCTATTTGATTCTTACAACAATCCTGTGGGGCAAGCACCAATATTATTTCCATTTTATAAATGAGGAAACTGTCAGAAGTGGGATTTGAACACAGGCCTTTCTAAACCCAAATCTTATTCTAGTTAACTTCACCCTCTAAATAAAGCTCAAGATGTAGACCCAGCATTGCAAAGAGACAATAGCAGAGAAAATAGCAAAACCTATTTGTTTCAAATAGTATGTTAATTTCTACAAAAACACTGGAGATTTTTTTTTTCGAGAGGAAAACTTTTCTCAAACAATCCCTCAGACTGAGTTGAAAGTACAAAATGATTTTCTGTTTGTTCAAATGATAATTTTACCACCTGAAACATTTATCATTAAAACCCTGGCACTGGCAGGACCAGCAAGAGTAGGTGGGGCACTTTGCCAATTTTCCCTTTTCTGATTCTCATTCATCAAATCCTCCTCCCTCATTTTTACATTCTCAAAGTTTAATATACTAAAGCTTACTTGAACTTTCCAGACAGAGAATTATTAGACATGTAGGTTTCAGTATCCCATCACCCATCTTTAGGGAAAAATAGGACCAAAAAAAAAAAGCCACTAGGAGTTAGAGCAGGGAGGGACCTTCACTATTAGCCAGTCCAACCTGCACATTTTAGAGATGAGTTAATTGAGGATCAGAGAGCCTAAGTGTCTTGCTCGTGGCTTCACAGCTAGCAGAATTTGGGTTTTAGCCCACTTGCTCCTGCACTGCAGCTGCAGCTAACCCTGAACTCTATTCCTAGCTCTGCCACTATTTGCATTGCAGGGAAAAGAGCTCGAATTCAGAGAACCTGCCTCCCCTCTCTTGGCTTTGCCACTTTCTTATGGTGAATGACTGCTGGCACATCACTTATCCTCTCTTGGCCTTAGTCTTTCAATCTGTACAATACGGAATTTAAACTAGATTAACCTCTAAATCTAATATCCTCCGGACCTCAGTTTACTCATTTGTAAAATTTAAGTCTAGGAGAAAAGGGGAGAGGGAAGGTTGGATTACGAGATCTATTCCAAGGTTCCTTCCAACTCTGAGGTTCTATGATTTTAACCTCTGTCGCTATCCCCCCCCCAAAAAAAGATTAAAATAGTTCAAAGTCTCTAGATCGACAACTGCACACTAATCAGGCCTGCGCTTCTCCTCGGGAACAGCTGCTGTTTCTGACTGTTCTGGACAAAAGCTGAAGCTGGCGGGGAGGAGGGAGGAATTTGGGTTAAGTACAAAAGTTTGTGAAAGACGCGTCCTCAGCCACCACCATGTCACAGAAAAATATGAGAGGGAGGGAGATAGGCATCTACTTCACGAGAAGGCGAAATTGGAGACGGGCGTGGGCTGTGCTCAAGTGCGGAGGCAAGTACTAGGATGGATTTTCAGGGAGGAGGCGCCTTCCCTCCCTCCCTCCCTCCCCAGCGCTTCGTGGTCCAAGGGCAAGGTCCGCTCCCGGGCCAGGCGGGGGCGGTCGAGGTGTGAGGAGGGAGAAGAGAGCGAGCCGTCTGGCACGTGCTCGCTCCCGCTAGGCGGCGGCGGCGCGCTCGCGCGCGCGCCTTCCCTTTTGCCCGCCCCCAGCGGCCGGATCTCCTCAGTGCTGGGCGGGCGGGCGCGCGGGCAGGCGGGGGACGATGCGGCCGAGGCGGAGGCGCGCCCAGGCGGTTTGAAGCAGCGGTTGGCTGCCACGGGCCGGGGAGATGAGCTGGGGGGCCGCCCCCGGCTCGGGGCTGTGAGGGGCTCGGGGCCGGGGGTGGGGGTCGAAGTCGAAGAGGAGGAGGAGGAGGCGGCGGCGGCGCTGCTTTCTTCCTCCGCGCCCCCTTCCTCCTCCTCCTCCTCCTCCTCGGCGCCCCCGGGCTCAGACATGAGCGGGGCCGAGTGGCCCGAGCCGCCGCAGCCAGGCCGAGGCCGGGGCCGGGGCCGGGGCCGCCTCCCGCTCCCCGGGCCGGGCCTCGGCCTGCGGGCCCCGGGGCTGCCCCCGCCGTCGCCGCCGCCGCCGCCGCCGCTGCTCCTGCTGCCGCCGCTGCTGCTGCTGCTGCTGCTGCCCGAGCCGGGGGCCGGGGCCCCCGCAGGCGCTGCCGCCGAGCGGTTCCCGCTCCCGCTGCCCCCGGCCGTGGGGCCCAGCGTGAGCCTCTACTTGAGCGAGGAGGAGGTGCACAAACTGCTCGGTGAGTGAGACCCCGGGCGGGCGCGGGGCCAGGAGGCGCTTTGTAGGGGGACGACTTAAAAATGGGCTTCTCCCCTCCCCTCCCCCCACCCCGTACCCCGGGCCTCCTGTCCACCTTCGGCCCCTAGCCGGGGATGCCATCCAGGGGAGCTCACAACCCGTGCCTTCCACCGCAGCCACCTAAACGGAGATCCCGGGGTCTCCCCGTGGTATTCTAGTGCTTTCCCTCGGTTGATGATCTCCAGTTTATCCAATTGTTTGTACATATTTGTTTGCACATAGTTGTTTACATGTCTAACTCATTAGCGAACTCCTGGAGGGCAGGGACTTGTCTTTTACTTGTCTTTGTATATACATCTCCAGAGCTTGGCACAGCACTTGGCAAATAGTAGGCGCTCAATAAATGTTTATTGATTGACTTAACTCTCATGTCCCAAGATGTGGGACTTTTTGGTCTCTCCTCGCAAAAAGTCCCGGGTTGGAGCATCTTTACTTTTCTTATCTTTATATAGTCACTTTCTCCCATCAGATTTAGGATTTTTAAAAATTAAGTTGTATTTTTTTCAGTTGTTAAATATATTTATATTTTCTTCCTCCCCTGCTGAAAAATAAAAGAAAAAAAACTTGTAATGAATATGTATAGTCAAGCAAAACAAGTTCCCACATTGGTCTTGTCCAAAAATGTGTGTCTCGTCCTGCACTTTTAGTTCCGTCACCTCACTGTCAGGAGGAGGGTAGCGTGGCATCCTTCCAGTCCTCTGGAATTAACCACCAACATTTAAGATTACCAGACTTTCTCTCCTTGCCATGCTGGCTGGGAAGTTCTGTACGTTTTCTTCTCAACAGAAGAGGGAGAGAGGGAGACCAAGGAGAGGAGGAGGAGGAGGGTATCCTTCGATTGCAGCTCGTGCATAGATCCCGGCTCCTCCCTCGGCTTAAAACAGACACACATACACGTACTCCCCCCCCAAATAAAACCCACTCCTTCCCCCCTTCAGAAGGTGGGAAACCTCTACCAAAGCTGTGATAGTTTCTTTTCTCCCAGATTTTTTGCTTCCCAGCCCGGCAACCAACCAAATAAACTTATCATCCAGCTCTGTAATTTGACAAGATTTACTCTAGTTTCTTCTCTCCTTTAAAAAATAGACGGCTAGAGACTCCTCTCTTCCTAGTGTTTTACCGAAGGGTTCATTTCACTGCAAGTTAGTTACTTGAACCTATCTTCCCTTCTGAGATAACTGTAAAGTCCTCTCTCACTGCTTCTGCTCCAAAGCAAGGTGACATATTCCTTTCTTCTATGCCTGACAATATTTCTTAGACCCTTATATTAAGGCTCTGGATTTCAGATACACCAAGAGTGATCATGATATGTATCATGCAAGAAAAATTCATTTTAGTTTTAACTTCTAAACATCTGCAAGCATCAGTCCTCCTACTGCCAAAGTGCTAACCATCCCTATTCTCTTTTCCTTTCTCAACTAAGGCCCCTTAGTAGAGTGGATAAAGAACACTTGGGACCATCTGAATTCAAGTACTGTCTTTGACATCAGTCAGTCAACAAACATTTATTAAGGGCTGTACTTCCTGCCTGACCCTGGGAAAATCTCTTAACCTCTTAGTGATTCAGGCAATTAAGACTATAAATTTCAGAGCAAGTGTCTAATCTGCATTGGTAGGAGTTTTCTCATTCAGGGAGTTACCTATATCATTGAAATTACAGGTATCTTCTCCCCCCCCCCCCCAACAAAAACAAGAGAACAAAACAAACTAAGATTATAGGAATTCAGAAATTGTATCAAAAAGTTGCTTTTAATTCTGAAAATGTGTTTTACTTAAATTAGTGTTGAGGCCCAAATTAATTTTTCCCACTTTTTTTTCACCCAGGGCAGGGGAAAGGGGGAATTAATTTTGTATTGTTTTTGATTTGTTGTCAAAATCTTGGTTTCTCTTTCTGGGTCTGGACATTAAAAAAAATTGTCCTTATAGATAAGTGGTGGTTGCAGATTTTTAGGACCTGAATTTAAAACCCTATAGATGATGTGACCAACTAAAAAAAAGTTAATCATGGAAATAGCCTTCAAATAGAAGTTCTACTATGAAGCTTGAATTTTCGGAAATTTTTAAAAATTCTACTTACATTTCTTTTTTATACCTCATGTAGGTGCTGTATTGCACCTATGTTCACAGAACTTTGTAGTTGGACAGGACATAAGAGATCATTTTGTTCATTTTACAGATGGAGAAATTGATCTTGAGAGGTAGCCTATAACCAGGCCAAGGTCACACTACTAGTGAAGGACTGAACAGGTCTCCTATTCTAGGGCTCCTTCCGTCACACTGAACTTGAACTTCGTTGCCTTTTAGACCTATTTATTTATCTATCAGGTTTTTGTTTTTTTGTTTGTTTGTTTTTTTTTTTGGTGAGGGCAGTTGGGGTTAAGTGACTTGCCCAGAGTCACACAGCTAGTGAGTGTTACGTGTCTGAGGCCACATTTGAACTCAGGTCCCCCTGACTCCAGGGCTGGTGCTCTATCCACTGCACCCCCTATCTGCCCCTATCTATCAGTTCTTTGAAGCTTATGGAAATTGACACTGAATTGGGAATTGCCATCAGCAGACTTTTTTGAGAATTCTTAAAAAGCATTGATTTGTATTGAATATTCAAGAAACACATTTATGTTTTGTTTTGTTTTGTTTTTTTGTGTTATGATAAAATTCTTAGTCCTATTTTTATGAACAGAGTTACAACTGAAACATTGTATTAGCATTTGGAATATAAGACTTTGATGCTTAGTGTGCTGGGTGTTTATAAAATCTGTTTACATACACAAGAAAAAGCGTTATGTTGTAGTTAGGGAGTATGAAAACTACTGCTTAAATTTTTTTTTTAAATTAAGCGTATAACTTTTAGGAGGGATAAAGTGGATTTAAAAACATGCACAATATTTTAGTTGTAACACTTCTTTAAAAAGTTACACGACTGCTCATGCCATCTGATTTTTCTACCAGTATTTTTTCTATAGGGAATTTCAAACTTATGAACAAATGCAACAATTTGGGAACAGAAGTCTGTTCTCTAATTCATAATGCCTGGAAAATGATTGACCTTATCTTATATTTACTGCCATTTTCATAATATCTGTACTGTCTTAGCCGCCAAAGCACACTTGAAATGGAGAGGTTACTGCTGATGTCTGGTACTGAGTATTCCTGAAGCCAAGTTGGAACATGGAATGCATTTTCCTATAGAAACAGTGTTGTAAATGTCGGTTAGGTGTAAGTTGAATGGGTTTTTGTGGTCTGGCTTGTGAATCTAGCTACCATTTAAAATACTATTTGTGTGAGAAAATGTATTTTAAATTCTAAACAGATTACTTAGAAAAGAATTTACAGTTTGAGATACTTGTTAAGAAAATGTACCTCCCACCCTTCTTTAAAGAGTTGTGAGGTATGGTTGTGCATATACTGTTAGTTGATATATTTGGTTGGTTTTGCTGTACTGCTTTCTCCTCTTATAATTTGTTACAAAAGAGAGTTCATTGGGTAGGGAGGATAAAAGAGATGCTTATGGAAATGAAAACAATGTTAAACCAAAATATTTCAATAATATGATTAAAAAGAAAGTAAAAAATTTACAGAATATACCCATTAATAAGCTGGAAGTTACCTGTACTTGATGGGATCAGTTGTTAACTACTTAAAGAAGACGTGGCTATAGTATGGGGATCCAGTAGCTATTTCTTCATAATGTCAACAATAGTAAAATTGCCATTAACTAGAATGCTTTGGGAATAGAGTGCAAGGACACCTTTTGTGCACTGAAGTACAAAGTATGCCTGATAAGTGGTTTTGAGTACTCTTTACTAGCCCATGTAGAGAGTATACAGCCCATCCAGGAAGTATACTCATACATTCTAAGCAATGACTGTTTTACTGAGCTCCAGGGAATGCAGAATGCTTGTAAGAGGTGTGTGTGTGTGTGTGTGTGTGTGTATGTATGTGTGTGTTTGTGTGTGGCAGGTTGGATGGTGCATTTTTGAAAAGCAAAGTTCTTATGTTTTATTCTGTAGGACGCTGGATGAGGAGGAGTATTGGAATTATAGGAAGGAGGCAGCAGGTGTAGAAGAGGTTGAGAGTGGTCTAAAAGTCTTTTTACTTTGTCAAATAGTTGAACATCAGAAATGGATATGATGAAATTAATAGACATGACCTTAAAGAAGGACCACTGGGCTTTTCCATTGATTTAGAGTTAAAATCTCCTATGTGTGTTGTCTACAGTTAGAATGTGAACTTGCTTTTTCACGTGGCCGTAAGCACTTAGCACAGTGCTTTGATTAGTAGATGTCCTCTCTTCTCCTGTTCTGTCCTTAGATCCCAAACCATTTTCTTTTGGGTTGCATTTAGGCCTTATACCAGGTTAAAGGTGGAAAGTTGATAATGGCCACTCAGTCTAAACAGTCACCTTGCCCTTAAGACAGTTGTTTTGCAAAGTTTATTAGTATTCTTTCTTTTTAAAGAACTATTTGCAACATCCAAGAATAGATAAAGAACATTGTATTTTAAAAGTAACTGCCTCAAATTGATACAGATAAGAGAATTTAAAATACCATACCGGAAGAGTTGTGAACCTCTAACCGTCTAATCCTTCTGGAGAGAATGTGGGAATTTTGCCCAAAGGGCAATCAAACCGCATCCCCTTTGATCCAGTATCCCAGAGATCATAAAAAAGGGAAAAGAACCTACATGTACAAAAATACATCAGCTCTTTTTGTGGTGGCAAAGAAATTGAGAGAATGCCTATCATTTGGGAAATGGTTGAATACGTTGTGGTGTATGAATGTAATGGAATACTATTGTGCTATAAGAAATGATGAGCAGGTGGATTTCAAAAAAAAAAACCTGGAAAGACTTACATGAACTGATGCTGAGTGAACTGAGCAGAACCAGGAGAACATTGTACACAGTAACAGCAACATTGTATGTTAATCAACTATGATTGAT